CTATGCAACATAATAAGTAACACGCATATGCGCCTCAGTCACGTTTATGTCGTTCACTGAGTCTGCAGTGTGTTGAACGCCTGGCACGAGGCCACATTACTTTAAGCTTACGCCGAGGACACAGGCGTAGGCTGGAGCAGAGAAGTTGTGTTAAGAGACTTTGTAGCCTTACCTTTACGATCACGTTTCGGGCCATGAGGAGGTTGGGGAGTGGGGGGGAGAACCATTTGCTGGCAAATGCTATGCGTGTGATGATGATGATGATGATGATGATGATGATGATGATGATGATGATGATGATGATGATGATGCTGATGCTGATGATGATGATGATGATGATGCTGGTGACGCGCCCTCGATTTAGCGACGACGCGTAATGACAATGTTGCGCTTCGATGTGATGCCACTATCGTTATCACGATCAGTCTCGCCGTCGATCTCACTATCGATCTCGCTATCGATGTCACTATCGGCCTCACTATTGATCTCGCTGTCGACCGCACTATCGATCTCACAATCAATGTCACAATCAACCCCACTGCCGATCTCACTGTTGAACTTACTGTCCATGCCGTTTTAGCGATCCCATTATCGATCTCATTTCCGCTTTCACTATCGATACCACGGCGGGACACCCCCGGCCACCGCCCGCCCACCGCCGACGGAACACCGACGGGACACCAACGTTACACCACGGCGGGGCACCCCAGGCCACCGCGCGCGCCCACCGGGAGCGGAGGGGCGGCCAATTGCATTCGAATCGCCCCAGCGACGGCGGGGTAATTCCTCTCGCGCGCCCACGCAGTTTCGCCTCGCACGCACGCGCGACACGAACACGAAACCGAAAACGGTTTCCCTGTGGGGGGCTCTCCGCTCCCTTGCGATCTTACCCCCCAGCCCCCGACGATGGCATGCGAGGTACACGAGATGTGGTTAGACCGGGCCGAGATCCGACGCATTGTGTTCGTTCAATGCGCGGCCCCCTGAAGTCCCGACCCTTTCCCAGTGCCTGCAGCTTTGCGACCTGAGTCGCTGTTTGACGGTCCCAGGGCCCGGCGAGGGATCCCAGGGCCGAAAGCGGCAACAAGAATCTTAGTTGCCTCGATACGCCCGTTTTGATACGCAACACGTGACGTGCTCAAAAAGTCCGTGTCAATACATTTCGTGTTGGCTCCACGTATTGGACCACGTGTTGGCGAATGTATCCCGTCCGACCTACGTTTTCAGCCTACGCGTTGAGCTCCGTATCACTGCGATACGTGTTGCGTGTTGCGTATCGGGGGAGCTAAGACAAGACTATCCCACTATCCCGCCCTGCGTTCTTTCACGATGCGAGGGGGTCCGGTGTGCCCAATCTCCCCGGCGCCCAGGAGAACGCCGCCAGGCACCTGGACGCGGCGCCCGCCGAGGCGCCCGAGCCGGAGGCGGGGGAGGAGCGGGGAGCCGGCGGGGTGAAGTCGGGCGTGTCCCCCTACACGGGGGGTTTTGGACGAACAATAAAAAGTACACAAACATATTCACAAGATGCCCAAACATATTCAAAAAATAGTCCCCCGGCTTTATTTTACTATTTTTGAATCTTCCCCCTGTAGAGGGACAGGCCCGACTCAACGGCGGGGAGGAAGAAGAGGGAAGGAGGTTTTGTCGAGAGAGCAGCGGGGAGGAGAATACGGAGAGGGAGGAAGAGGAGGAGGAGGGGGGGCAGGGGAGCAGGACCAGAGGTGTGCGCCGCAGGCCGCCGACTCTGGGCAGCCATGCGGAGGACTATTTGGCCGCCGACTCCAGGGGTGTCGGGTGAGTCACCTCTGTCGGCGGCCCGCCTGTTGGGGCGGAGCGCGCTGCGTCCGCCTCCTGAGCTGCGGCCCAGGGCCAGGGCAAACCCAGGATGCACCAGCCGCTGCTGCAATACACCCTCCCGTCACAAGTTCCCCCCTCTTAAATGACATCCATTCAAGTATTCCTTCCCTCTGCGGGGGCCCCCCCTTGAATGACGAGCGGCCAGGCGGTCCGCCAGTCAGACGAGGGCGCCAGTTGTAAAGGATTCGCCCTCCACTTGAAGAGCGCCCAGGGTAGCCCCATAAAAAAACAAAAAAAGAAAAGAAAAAACAGCAACAAAAAAAACCTCCTTCTGTCTAAGCGTTGCAGGACTTCAAAGTCGTGGACGTATGCTCCGCGGAAGTCCCACGCGAGAGCCCGTCAAGGAGGCCCAGGAATATTCTCGTTTTGAAAAGATCATGCTCTCCATCTGTGTACGTAAGCGTTGCCCGATGCCAAAGTCGTGGACGCATGCTTCGTGGATGCTTCACGCGAGAGCTCCGTTTCGGAAGAGGAGTCTCGCTCCATCCGTGTTCGCTGTTGCACTATGTGTAACGCCGGGTCGCAGAGGTCGAGGTAGGACCAAGTGAGTGTAGATGGTGGATTTTGTGTTCGAATGCGCGCGAGGCAAAGTGGGGGAATTCGTTAAGAAACGTACCCAGGAGGCTGCAGACCCTGGAGAATTCCTTATCCGATGAGGACCGCGGTGATAGCAATGGCCGATCCACGATTGGAGTTCCACCGGCTCCCATACCCTAGATTGCCTATCTAAGGGTTCCGTTCAGTACCCCAGCCATCTTGTAAAAGGATTCGCCATCCACTCGCGCGGCTAAGGACAGTTTGGAAGCCGAGTGCGCACGGCGCCAGGGCAAGAGCCCCTTTTTGAAAACGGCCCGCCGTCCATCTGTTCTCAAGTTGTGCCATGCGATGGTGGGCGGTGCCAGCACCGCGAGAGCCCCCTTGTGAAAATTGTGTGTGTGCTCTACGCGTCAGAGCGCGATCCGGATTCGTCTGCCCTTTCTGCGGTGTCGTGCGGCGACGACGACGACGATGAAATTGGGGATGTGGATGCTGTTGCTGCTGACCCAGAGATCCGATGTCGTGATTTGTTCAATACGCGGTCCCCGGAAGTCTTGACCCATTCATTCCCCAGGACCGGTTTTTCATTCTGAGTCGTTTTTTGACAGCCCCGAAGCCTGGCGAGGGCCCCTGGGGGCCGAAATTTGCGAAAAATCTCCGTCTTGATTTTTTCAATGCGCTTGATCTCTGGGTAGCGCGACGGCGAGCTTGGGAGCGCCCCGGGCTAGTAGTGTCGGGGAGCGCCTGGGAGCGTCTTCGAGCGTCTGGGAGCGCCTGGGGCGCCCCTGCAGGGGCGCTCGGGTGTCCCACGTGCGGTCGGGGAAGGGCGCCCGCAACGCATCGAGCTGCTCTGTTCGGGAGGGGAAAAAGCACACAGACACGATGATTCGTCGACCCCCAGGAACAACCTTGGAAAATATGGGAAGTGGGGGGGGGGTAAAGACAAAATCCCAGAAAAGATTTAGACGAAAGCCCGGATATGGTTGGCACATTGGACGACGAACGCGGGGTCGTGCGGGTGAACACAGAATTCTAGATTTCGCGCCAAATGGTGATGGCGGGGTCGGATGGACGGACTTGCGCCACATATTTGTTTGGCATAGAATGGTAGCGGTTGGGTCGTATGGACTTGAGCAAACTAGTAAATGTTACGTCGGATCGTGGGGTGGGTTGTAAAGGATGCGGGCCATATTGCATTTGTTGCGTCGGATGACAAAGTGCGGGTCCGATGGATGAGCACCGAATCGTCGCTTTGTTGTTTCGGATGGTTCGGGGTGGGTCGGATGTGCGCGGCGCTAGGGCTATAACCACATGTGTAAACAAATCGCCATCCAGCCTTAAGGGTTGCAAGTGTTGAAGAAAAAGATGCTGCGCGGAGCTAGGGCGAGGAACACCTGTTGAATACGTGCACGCCTCCATCCTTGAAGTTGCTGCAAGTGTGTAATTCGAAACCACCCATGCTCCACCCTTGAAGTTGCTTCTTGAGTCAAGATTCAGGATGAGCAGTGGCGAGAAAGTCTCAGGCGAAACGCCCAGCCAAGTCTACGGACACGTTTGGTGGTGCGGCAGGGAGCAGTTATTTATAAGGATAGAGATAGGTGAGGAGGAGGAACAGAAGGCGGATGATGATGATAGGATAAGGAGGAAAAAGAAGAGGAGAAGGAGGAGGAGCAGGAGAAGGAGAAGGATGAGGATGATGAGGAATTGGATGAGGAGGAGCAGGAGCAGGATGAGGAGGTGGACCAATGTAGACCCAAGAGTCATCAACGATGTTGGAATAAACCCTCCCTCCAAGCTTCCTCTTCACAGGCCCTTGCAAGGGCTTATTTCCACTGAGGGAACTTCCCCTTTGGAAGACAACCTTGTGAAGACCCTAAGCATGCCAAAACATAGTTTTCGGGATTCCAGCGCCATGGATCAACCTGACTGCTGCGGCTTGACGATCCGGAATCGTGCCAGAAAGCCATCTTGGGGGCATGAGCACCGCGAACCAACGTAGCTGTTGCACCCTCACAATCCTGAATCCGTCCGAAACGTTAGTTCTGTTACGCTGATCATGGGAGTCCGTGAAATTCTTGTAGGTTTTTGTTTGAGGAAAAGCAAAAACAAAACATTTGTTAAACAAAGACCGAATGTGCGCGACGGCAAGGTGAGAGTCATATTTTGAAACGGAACCGCCCTCAATCAGTGACACCCTGGCTAAGTTTAGAAACGAGTGTGCGCAGCGCGAAGGCGATAACCACATATTGAAATGGATTCGCCCTCAATCGTTCAAACCTTTGCAGAATTTTGAAGCGAACGTGCGCGGCGCCGAGGCGAGAGCCACATCGTGAAATCGACCCGCCCTCCATTTGTAAAATTGTTGCCGATGTTTAGCTTGAGGGTCATAGATGGTGAGGAAGCCTCAGGCGAAGCGCCCGGCGCGCACTTAAAACTGGCTTCGGGGTCCGAAAGGGAGAAGCTATTTTTAGGAAGAGAAATGCAGGAGGAGGAGGAGAAGGAGGAGGAGGAGGAGGGGGAGAAAAAGGAAGGGGGGGATGGAGGAGAAGGTCAAGGCGGAGGAGGAGGAGGAGCAGGAGGAGGAGGAGGAGCAGCAAGAGGAGGAGGGGGAACTCTGGACGCGGCGCCCGCCCAGGCGCCCGAGCCGACCGAGGAGCCCCCTGAGGCGGGCCCCGGGCAGGAGCCGCTGGGCCGCCGTGCGAGGGCCGCCGCGCGGGGGGCGGCCGCCGCCGCGCAGGCCGCCCAGCGGGGGGGAGCGCCTGGGGGGCCCGGGCCGCCAGTCCCCCTTGGGCTGGGCGTCCCCGATTCGGCGACTGCAAAGGTTGTGGAAGTCGACTACTGCCAAATAATTTCCAGATGTCCAAAAGATGTTTCCTGTATGTGTATTACATATGCTAAAACATGTTTGACACATGTTTTAGAACATGGTTTACACATTTAGAATACATCTGTAATTCAATGACCCGATTGTTAGAGTGTCCATTGTCATGGCATCCACAACACGAAGGGTATGGTTACGCCGGGGCACGACGCTGTCCTCGTCGGGCTTCCTCGGGGGGCGGGGAAACTCTATCGAGGTCCCCGCGCGCCCCCCAGGGTGCCCCCCAGGATGTTCCCCAGGGTGCCGGTTGCAAACCACACCCTTTGCAAATTACACCCTTTGGAGTCGCCGACCGATGATTGAATCGCACATCTTGCGGGCGTGGTTACGCCGGGCTGTGGTTTGCGATCTGCGTTGGGTGGACCCGATCTGGGCGCGGCGGAGAGATCTCTGTCCAGGCCTTCGTCGTCGTCCTCGTCCTCGACGTCGTCGTCGTCGTCCTCGTCCTCGTCGTCGTCGTCGTCCTCGTCGTTGTCCTCGTCGTCCTCGTCGTCGTCGTCGTCGTCCTCGACGTCGTCGTCCTCGTCGTCGTCGTCCTCGTCCTCGTCGTCGTCGTCGTCGTCGTCGTCCTCGTCGTCCTTGTCGTCCTCGTCGTCCTCGTCGTCCTCGTCGTCCTCGTCGTCGTCGTCGTCGTCGTCGTCATCCTCGTCGTCGTCGTCGTGGTCGTGGTCGTCGTCGTGGTCGTCATTGCCGTCATCGTGTGACCAGGAGTGGCGCCAACAACAAAAGCAGCGAGGTGGCTTTTTCTGGCCTCGGCTAGCCATGAGCAAGATCCCCGACCAAGATCAACGAACGGCACGAGCACCGTCATCAGTCCCGGCCTCCGATCGACCGTAGAGTTTCGCCCAGAGTCACGCGTCTCAGCTCTGGAGTCGTACGGCGCCGACGCAGACACTGAAACCGACGCTGCCGCCTGGAGCTGACGCCGACTGCCAACTGCCGACGCCGCACCGCTCGGGCGCCGCTCGGGGAAACGAGGTTCGCGGAGCGAGGATCAATGATCGAGGATCCAGGATCGAGGATCAAGGATCGTGGTTCGAGGTCGAGGATCGAGGTTCGAGGATCGAGGTTCGCTGATCGAGTATCGAGGGCAAGGACAGAGGACCCGTCTGCACTCGCCCAGCCTGCGGAGTGGCTCCGCCTCGAGAGTCAGGGCTTGAAGTGCCTTGCAGAGATAGCGCGGACCCCAAATGCCCTCCCCTCCCCTCCCCTCCCCTCCCTTAGCTCAGCATGGTCAGCCTGAAGTCGGGCCTGTCCCTCTACAGGGGGAATATTCAAAAATTTTCAAACACTGTCTGGGGAGCATTCTTTGATTATTGTTTGACCATTTTGAAATATTTGTTGTCTAATGTATCTTTTTCGCCTGAAGCCTCCCTGTAGGGGGACAGGCCCGACCTAAGGCCAGTCTCTTGTCAAGGCAGGCAGGACCACCAAGGACTCCATGATTGGCGTTTACCAAGCGGCCTGGGACGCTCACCGAACCACCATGCCCTACTCGACTGCGCACTTAGTATTAAGTCGGGCCTGCCCCTCTACAGGGGGAATATTCGAAGATGGTCCAACAATAATATGACGACGATGTTTTGAGTCAGTTTTTGACCATTTTGGAGATTTTGTTCGACCATCTTTTATTTTTCGTCCAAAATCCCCCCGTAGGAGGACAGGCCCGACTTAAGCTTAGTAACCAGCTTCGCTCGTCTGGGTGCTTATCGGAGTGTGGTTCTGCTGCTCCCTAGCCGGGGAGGAACGCCCATGGGGCCCCAGGCCTCCAACCAGTGGTGGCATTTTTGTTGGGGGGATCGAGAAGACGGGCAGGAACGTTGTCTCAGCGTGTCGCTCCGCCGTGTCTGGTCCCCTGTGCTGCGGCGCGACACGCCATCCACGTCCACGTCCCAAGGCGGCAGCGTCCCGAGCTTTCCCCGCCGCCCGCCCCGCGGTGGGGAGCGACACGCTATCCGCTCGCAGGGCATATCGTGTCGCCAGGGCCGCCGCCGAGACGCTAAGCAAAAGTTCCCGACCGTAGCGGCTGAGATCCGTAGCTCCACTTCGGCTTGCGATCGCAGTTTCTCCATTTTCAGGAGGGGAACAAAAACACACACAGACACAATTAATCGTCGATTCCCCTGAAAATAGTAGAACATATGGGAAGTGGGGGGAAGACAAAAACCCTGAAAATATTTGAAATATGGGGAATCCTGTTATTTGTGTATATTTACTTGTGTGTCCCTGGGCCCCTTCAGTAAAGTTTTGGGTTTGAGGTTTTCGGGCGCTCTCGTCGGCTCTCAGCGGTGTTCCAGCCTCGCGGTGCCGTCAGCGGCTGCGCCGCCGAAACCTCTTCCAGGGATGCCCGCATCGTCCCAAGCGGCCGCCGGAGAGCCGAGGCATGACCCGAGAACCATCAAGGCGGCGGGGGGGGGGGCCAGGCCTCCAACCCAGACCACGTCCCCGGCGGCGTCCAAGAGGGGGGTTAGAGACGAGGGCCTATGGAATGACTGACCAGGGTCAGCATCATGTCACCGATCCCCATCCCACTGGGGGAGAAGTGGATCATCGATTTCAAGCAGTACTCCTTGAGGTGCCCTTGCCCAGGGAGTAGCGCTCTTTGGGCCAACTTTGACATCCGAGCAGCAGCCATTCGCTCGTGCACGGGCGCGTAATTTTCACAGGAGCAGTTTGCAGAATGCTGGCAGAGTGAGTTGCAAAAAATTAGCCTGGCCAAGGACCCAACCATATGAAGTTGTGAATGCCGCAATTGTGAATACCATCTTCGCCCGCGCTCCCTATGTGGCCACGGCTTCCCGCCGGAGCCCGACATGCTCAGGGACACGTTCGTGGCCGTCTTCGCGGGCGCCGACGACGACAAGGACGGCGTCCCTCTCACCGAGGAGCAGAAGCAGGAGAGGGCCTTGAGAGCCATGAGGGAGGACGTGGCGTTACACGTCGACCAGGCGGAGTACGACGCCCAGGCGCGGTTGTTGAAGCAGCACAACTATGGGGCCACGATCCTCGTGAGAGATGTGCCGCAGTGGCCCGGGGCCGCCATGCGAACCCTGCCACTGGCGCCTTCGGTGGAGCTCCCTACGGGGCCACGATCCTCGTGAGGGGTGTGCCGAAATGGCCCGAGGCCGCCATGCGAACGCTGCCACTGGGGCCTTCGGTGGAGCTCCCTATGGGGCCACGATCCTCGTGAGGGGTGTGCCGAAATGGCCCGAGGCCGCCATGCGAACGCAGCCACTGGGGCCTTTGGCGGAGCTCCCTATGGGGCCACGATCCTCGTGAGGGGTGTGCCGAAATGGCCCGAGGCCGCCATTCGAACGCTGCCACTGGGGCCTTCGGCGGAGCTCCTAAGGGGCCACGATCCTCGTGAGGGGTGTGCCGACATGGCCCGAGGCCGCCATGCGCACGCTGCCAAGTGGGCCTTCGGTGAAGCTCCCCATGGGGCCACGATCCTCGTGAGGGGTGTGCCGAAATGGCCCGAGGCCGCCGTGCGAACCCTGCCACTGGCGCCTTCGGTGGAGCTTCTTATGGGGCCACGATCCTCGTGGGGGGTGTGCCGAAATGGCCCGAGGCCGCCATGCGAACCCTGCCACTGGCGCCTTCGGTGGGGGCCGCGATCCTCGTGAGGGGTGTGCCGAAATGGCCCGAGGCCGCCATGCGAACGCTGCCAATTGGGCCTTCGGTGAAGCTCCCTATGGGGCCACGATCCTCGTGAAGGGTGTGCCGAAATGGCCGAGGCCGCCATGCGAACACAGCCACTGGAGCCTTCGGTGGAGCTCCTCATGGGGCCACGAAGCGCCGTATTGGGTGTGCCGAAATGGCCCGAAGCCACCATGCGAACGCAGCCACTGGAGCCTTCGGTGGAGCTCCCTATGGGGCCACGATCTTTGTGAGGGGTGTGCCGAAATGGCCCGAGGCCACCATGCGAACGCAGCCGCTGGAGCCTTCGGTGGAACTCCCTATGGGGCCACGATCCTCGTGAAGGGTGCGCCGAAATGGCCCGAGGCCGATCCTCGTGAGGGGTGTGCCGAAATGGCCCGAGGCCGCCGTGCGAACGCAGCCACTGGAGCCTTCGGTGGAGATCCCTATGGGGCCACGAAGCGCCGTACTGGGTGTGCCGAAATGGCCCGAGGCCGCCATGCGAACGCAGCCACTGGAGCCTTCGGTGGAGCTCCCTATGGGGCCACGAAGCGCCGTACTGGGGGTGCCGAAATGGCCCGAAGCCACCATGCGAACGCAGCCATTGGAGCCTTCGGTGGAGCTCCCTATGGGGCCACGAAGCGCTGTACTGGGTGGGTGAAACGCAGGGAGGAGAGGGGAGGAGGGGGAGGAGGAGAGGAGAGGAGTGACGCGGGGCACCGTCTTTTCAAAACGAGGACCCAACACCACAGGATGGTTGTTTGCAGAATGCTGGCAAAGTGAGTTGTAAAAAAAATCGCACCGATCCCCATCCCCACTGGGCCGTGGCATCGCAGCCCCATCGGCCCATCCACCCAGGCAGGCACAGGTCCCGCAAAAGCCCAAGGGAACACCATGTATCCCCACCTAGGGGGGTACGTCTCCAATGTGGACAATTTCATCCCCTTAGGGATGGGTATCGATTTACGCGGTGCTCACATGGGTGTGTGTGTGTGTGGAGACGATGGGTAGGGTACGAACTAGATTGTTACGGAAAAATGGGGACGCAAACCGACAGTTGTTCTTGCTCATTTTGAATAGGACTCGTTGCCGGCGTCACCTCGGACGCTGTTTAAAAGATTGGTTGCCCATAGGTATCAGTGTACCTTGGCCGGGGAAATGAATCTCCCAGATGTAATGGCCCCTTCTTGTTGTCTTTCTTCCGCTGTTTATCATCATCCTTATTTCAGCACGTTCCACTGCCCCACGTTGTCCGCGCGCACATGCCTCGGGATTCCCCTCCTCCTCTGCCCCGTCCTCTATGATTCGCCATTCCCCTCCCCCTCTGCCCCCCCTCTTGGAGGCACCCTACTTCCTCGTCGCGAAGAAGCAAAATCACGAGCAAAGGTCTTTGACGATTTTCGGCCTCGGGGGGGGGGGGCGATGTACGGGTCCCGTAAGAGGCAGTCACAAAATGGTTCGGGGTGGACGGCCGGTCCCTCAGGAGGCCAGGAGGCAGTTTGCGCCTCTTAGTTGCAGTGTCTGCGAAGACGATTTTGTAAGGTTGCATGATTACTTAATCAATTGTGGATGATTCATTACGCGGCGCAAAGCGCAAAGTCGTTGGCTCAAAGGCAGTCCACGGGAGGAGTCGCTTTCCCCAGTTGGCAGCCTGATGTGGTGCCTCTGCATCTTGTGGTGTTCGGCCGTAAACCGCTGGTTCGAAATTTGGCGCATATGTAGACTGCATCCTAACGCAGCGTTTTCCATGTAATCCGACCGTTCGCGCCCAGTTTGAGCCTCCAGAGTTTTCTGCGAAGGTCCCCAGAGATCCCCAGAGGCTGAATGAACCTTCCAGAGGCCCATGGCAACTTGCAAGCTTCCAACAACATGTTTCTGAAGTTCGGGAACCGATGAGGAGGAGGAGGAGAAGGAGGAGGAGGAGGAGGACGAGGAAGACGAGGAGGACGAGGAGGATTAGTATTGCGAAGGCCTTACGGCCGGTGCCGCCGACCCTGGAGGGCGACCCATGCGTTCTCGTATGTGGCGGGGGGGGCCTCTTGGGGCTTCCTGGGGGCCTCTTGGGGGTCTGTTGGGCGCGTTTCGGGCGTGGCTCGGGCGCGGCTCGGGCGCGGTCCGAGCGCGGCTCGGGCGCGGCTCGGGCGCGGCTCGGCGGCGGCTCGGGCGGCTCGGGCGCGGCCCCGAAACAATAAAGAATCCCTACGTGCAGTACTTGCGGGGGGGGCGTCGTATCTGAGTGGCGCCCCCCCCCCGGGACCCCCCCCGGGACCCCCCCGCTACCCCCTCCCGGCGGGGGAGGGATCAAAGGGAAGGGGCTTCCCTTCGACTCAAATACGACGTTGCTGAAGTTCATTTGGGCTGGCGCGCTTGAGCAGGGGCCCCTGCTGGGAAAGAGGACGGGAGTGGCGACGGGCCCACGGAAAGGGAGGCGCAAGGAAGGGGGACGACAGAGACGACGACCAACGAACAACGGGGATGACCTCTCGAACGGAAAATTCCCTCACACACGCCGACAGGGTCGGCGGATTTTAAGATCTGTCATCACGATAAATACGTGGACAGATCATTACCGGAGCCCGTGATTCTGGTGCGTGCATTCAGTTGGATTGATCCGCTGGGGTCGATAAGGGGTCCGAAACCAAGCGAAAACGCCTTGTGTGAACAAATCGGGACACCACGATCTCATCAGGGTTTGCCTGCAGAGGGGTGGCCCTGGCCGAAGATGCCCCCCACTTGTCGCGCGCTTCTGGAGCCCCTTTGGGCCACCTGTGGCCTCGTGCGGGGTGCTCTGGGGACCTGGTCCTCCATGGAGAAGCTCGGGCCACCTCAGGCCCGCAGGCCACCCAGTCGTCCGACGCAGTTGTTTTTCGCAGCATGGCTCCCCAGAGGTCTGAACCCCGTGCAAGGGACTGGCGTCACGGGGCCAAAAGATAGAGACACCACCACCTCCCTCACCCCCTCCCGCTCCCAGGGATGAGGGAGGGAAGAGGAGGGTGGAGGAGGGAGGGAGAATAGAGGTGGTGGTTCGTTTTTGCATGGCCCGGGGGCGCCCAAAAGGGGCCCGCATGCAGAGGCCGGAAATTGCCAAACCTTGCCCGTCGCAGTTCCTCCACGAAGCGAGGATGTCATCGGCCAGGGCGCCCCCCAGGGCGGCGCCTGGTTCAAGTCAGCGGAGGAGGAGCTCCCGCTGGTGCCCCCCAGACATCCGACATTTTTTTCAGGGCGCTGCAGCCCCAGAGACCCCGACCCCTTCCCCGGGGCCAGTTTGTCGCCCTGGCTCCATTTTCGATGGCCCCAGGGGCCCGCTGACAGCCCGCCGGGGCCGAGATCGAGGGCATCACCCCAGAAGGCTGAAGGCACGGCCACGCAGCACTGGTGCGCGATGCAGCCCACTCGAGGCCCAGGTTTGCTGGACTCAGTTTTTACAGATTTGCCAGACGTTGTTGCTGCAGTTCTGGAAATAGCCTATGGGCGAAACATTAATCCGTATCCGCGGCCTCGCGGGCCAGGCCCTTAGGCCGCGACCCCGCGGATACGGAGCGTTTTGTTCGCGGATGCACTGGGCGGAACGTAGCCGTGCGACCGCGTATCCGCGGGATCGCGCCCCAGAATGCAGTCCGCGAGGGCGCGGATACGGATATGTGCGCCGCTCGTGAATATCCAGAGGGGGGGAAGGGGGGGAGGGGGGAGAGGAGCAGGAGGGGCAGGAGGAGCCGAGCGTACCCCCGAGGTCTCTTGAGGCGCAGTCTAAGTAGAAGCACGGGGAGGAAGAGGAGGAGGAGGAGGGAGGAGGAGGAGGAGGAGGGAGGAGGAGGAGGAGGAGAGGAGGAGGAGGAGGGGGAGGGAGGAGGGGAGGGAGGAGGAGGAGGAGGAGGAGGAGGAGGAGGAGGAGGAGGAGGAGGAGGAGGAGGAGGGAGGAGGAGGAGGAGGGGGAGGGGGAGGGGGAGGAGGGATCGAACAAATCATATCATCCGAGATTTGGGCCCCCTGGTGCTCCTGCCCTGCAATGGCGCAGCGGCCCCCCCGGGCGCGGGCCTGGGCCAGCCAGCTCCCCCCCGCCTCTCGAGCGTGCTCGGCGGCCCGGCCGGCAGGCGCTGCGGGGGACCAGCTGCCAGCTGCGGGAGGAGCGGGGCGACCTGTTCGAGGTGGGCCTCCTCGATCCTTCGGCCTCCTCGGACCCCCTGCGTCAGGGCTCGAGCTGAACGGTGCGTTGGCGACTCCGTGGGCCGTTGTCGGTTGGATTTCGTTTCGCAGCAGAGGCAGGACGAACACAGAACGGAGGAAAACGAAAACACAACGAAAGCTAAGCACTGCTTAGCTCAAGCCCTGCCCTCCGTCTCCTATATCCTCCTCAGTCCTCAGAAAGGGGAGAGTATATACGTATAGAGAGAGAGAGAGAGAATAAAAAAGAGATTGCTGCATCCCGCTCCTCGTGGGTCTTCTCCTCGACCTTTCAACCTCCTCGATTCTTCTGCTCGGTTCTTCACGCTCTTCATCCTCGACCCTCCACCTCGATCCTCCCCCTCAAGCCTCGACTTGGGCCTCCCTCTGCTCATCATCCTTCTCCTCCTCGATCCCCCGTCATCGGGCGCGGTCGCTCCTCGACACTCCTCGATCCTCCAGCTTCGAGGCTCCAGGTTGTTAGGTTCGAGCTTCGAGGATCCTTCATCCCCGAGCTTCGGATCTCCTCGAGCTTCGAGGATCCTCGATCCTCGAGTTTGGGCGTTGTTCTGTAGGTGTTTTTAGTCTCTGGAAACTTTTCCGAGGTCTCCAAGGGCCACCAGGGACCTCCGCGGAGATCTCCGGTGGACCTCCAAGCGCATGCCTCCGAAGTCCTCCCTTCTCGTCTCTTCTCTGTCAGTCCCCTCCTTCGTTCCCTTCTCCCCAACTCCCACTCCAACCGCCTCCCGCTCCCTCTTTCCTCCACCCTCCTCTCCCCATCCCCCTGCATCACTCCTCGTCCACACGTTCGCCTCATTTTGATCCTCCTTTCGAGGTTGGTGCGGAATGGTCGTTGTGCCACTGTGTTTCGAAGGACTTGGAGATGAGCGCTGGCATCGCGGTGGCGTTCAAGAAGGAGTTCGGGGGGGTTCCGGAGCTGCAGAGTCAGGGGCCACAGGTCGGAGGAGTCGTAAGTTTGCAGAAGAAGGGCCGATTCATTTACTACTTGGTGACGAAGAACAAATACGGGGGCAAGCCGAATGTTGCGACCCTCGAGGCGTCCCTACGCGCGATGAGGCAGCACATGGAGAAGGACGGGGTACGGAAGCTGGCAATGCCGAAGATTGGCTGCGGTCTGGACAAGTTGTCATGGGGCACCGTTGTTGAGATTATCATGCAGGTCTTCGACGATATGGATGTGGAGCTTCTCGTGAGGTACATCTGAGGTTGCCTGCCGCGGGCAGTGCGCGCAGATGGCGGGCAACCAAGCCTCCAGCCGACTCCTCTTGGAGGGACGCCAACAATACACCACCACCAGCCCTTGCCAGGCCCATCCTGGGCCACGGACTGGTGCATGGACCTCCAGGCCTCGGCCAGGAGGGCCTGTGCACCAGTCCGGGGCCCAGGATAGACCTGACCAGGGCTGGTGGTGGTGTGTTGTTTGGAGCTCTCCTATCCCTCCCTCCAGCGGGAGGACCCCCGAGCGGTTTGGTGGCCGCGCCCGTCCAGGGAGCTCTGATGCGCTCCCTCGAGGGCTACGCGGGGTGGCTTCGGCACCTGGGGCCGTCCTCTGAGGGTGCCTTCTAGCGCTCCCGGGTGCCTCCCAGATTCAGATTTCGGGGAGCAAGAGTTCCAGGCCTCCCAGCTGGGGTCGGAGGATCGCTCCTCGTCGCCGATGCGTCGCCGATGCAGCTCGATGTGGGGCCCGACTTGCTTCACGTCGACGTCGCCGATGCAGCGCCGACGTCGCCGATGCATCGCCGATGCATCGCCGATGTGTCGGCGACGCGGCGCGATCTTCCGACCCCATCTACTCCGAGAGCATCTAGGGAGCCTCTATCTAAAAACAGTGTCAGTATCGCCCCCTTCGGGCGGTCCCATCAGTCACTGATGAGGAGGTCCTGAGTCTCTTTCGCGCAGGCGAGCGGGTAACGCGCACAGCATGGGATAGGTCGATCGTGACATTGACACCCCCCCTTCGAAACAAATAGTCATACGCCTTCATCCCATACTAGCTGTTACCGTCTCCTGTTCTCGAAAACGTTGATTAGGGCATGTGGCGGCCCGAAGACTGGGGCCATCCATCTTCGTTGAGAGGCCTACCTGAGCTTTGCAGCGGTAATGAATGAGGAAGTGAATGTCTTGAGCCATTATGAGTTGATCCAGCATGCATTGTGAGCCAAGATGTCTGCAGTGTGCAGGATCATCCTCCCCCCGAGGATGCCAGGGCTCGCACTTCTGTTCGTCCCACGCCCTCTGGCCTCGGGCACGCCGGGCCGCTCGGGCACCCAGGTGAAGCTCATGGGTCTTTCGGGCCGAGGGCAGTCGGCGTCACCCCAGCATACTTATACTACATGTGCGTCGCCCCTCCAGGGGCGTCGCGCGCACCGAGAAATTACACTTCGTATTTGCGTCGTGGCGGGCGCTTTCTCCTGGGCGGAAGGCGGCGGAGGCAGAGCGGCGGCGGGGGGTCGCCGGATCTTTCGGCGCGCGCTCCCAGGGGAGGGCCGCGCCTACCGGCGGCCTCTCGCCCTGGGCTCGAGGGCGGGGGAGGCAGAGCGGCGGCGGGGGATCGCCGGATCCTCGGGCGCGCTCCCAGGGGGGGGCCGCGCGCCTCCGCGGCGCCTCGCCCTACAGGGCAGAGGGCGGCGGGGGCGAGCACGGCGGCGGGACCCTGCGGCGGAGGCAGAGGTAAGGCGTCAGCACTTTGGGAGGCGGCCCCAGAGGTCCAGCGCAGTGAAAAAATCAAGACGGAGGTTGTTCGCAAATTTCGGCCCCTGGGCCCTAGGGGCCCTCGCCAGGCCTCGGGACCGTCAAAAAACGGCTCAGGATGAAACGCCGGCCCTGGGGAACGGGTCAAGACTTCTGGGGACCGCGCATGGAAAAAGTCACGACGTCGGATCTCTGGGGCGTCCGCTGGCTTTGCCGTGTGCCACCAGGTGGTCCGGGGGCCCCCGGCCCAGGCATCCGGCGGGCTGGAGTGCTTCAGGCCGCGGTCGGCCACGCGCAGAGTGGGGCAGGGGCGAGGGTGGAAGGCTTCTTCGAAGCACCCCTGCTGCTCAGAAGGCGCGGGCCTTGTCTGTAGATGCACGCAGCGTTCATTCCTAATTCTTCGAAAGTTCCTGGATTTTTTGGGGGGCATGATCCGTTCACTTCTAATTGTTCTATCCTGGGCCTCATCCTGGCCACTAGCGGGCCAGGAACAATCAGAAACGAGCACAATTAGAAATGAGCACGATTAGAAATGAACGACGTGTAGGGCCTGCGCCTTCTGAGAAGCAGCCTCCCTCTGAGGAGCCTTCCCCCTCCCCCTGCCCCCCTCTCTGTGCGCCACCAGCCATTGAGGAACAGACGCCGGGACCGAAGCAGCCGCTGAGAACTGAACGATTGCAGAATCCTAACGACTCGGAGGTCCGCGCAGACTTCTCGGATCGGCGCTGGACCCCTCTCCCCGGCGCGCGCAGCGCGCCAGGGTCGGCGCGGAGGCGCCGACAGGAGACCCCAGCGCCGAGCCGAGGAGTCCGCGCGGACCCCCCGAGGTCCCGAGTTTCGAAATCTATAAAAGTGTTTGTCGGAGCAGACAGTCGCCGGGGCTGAAGCCGGCGACTGTCGGAGCAGACGCCGGGGCTGAAGCAGCCAGTCCGCCAGAGGTCCGGTCGGCTGCGCGTATAAGAGTGCTCTTTCACCGGAATGACCTTTGGTGCGCGGGTTTCGGCGGGCGTTGCGGGGCCAAGCCCAAGCACGCAAGCCGCCATTGTTGCACCGCGCGCAACAGCGGAGAAGCCGCGCACCAAAGGTCACTCTTGCTACGTGTAGCCGATCTGGGGAAACGGCGCTCCTCATCCTTGTAAATAGCCGCTCTGCAGTGAAAAGTCCACGCGCCGCGTGCATCCGTCGGCCCTTGGAAGCCCCGCCGGGCAGGCACCGTGAGCCCTCGGAGCCCGCCGTGCTCCGCGCAGGGCGGTCCCGCGCCGAAGGAGTGAGGGAGGAGGAGCAGCCCCCGAACCTCGAGGCGATCCTCGAGGTTTCAAGTTTTTGGGGCGCCCCCCCACGCCCCCTGGGTCCCGAGGAGGCTCCCCGTCGCCCCCCCTGGAACCGCTCGTGAGATCTGGCCAACACGCACCTCAGCAGGAGAGGTCACGAGGCTCGATCTTCGATCCTTGGTCGACGGCCTCCGAGGTCGTTCTCGTTGGTTCAAGCCCGGCGTTGTCTCCCAAGTGTGGGCCTCCAGGGGGCGCTTCCGGTGCAGGACCGCCAGCTCAGGGCTATTGGGCGAATCGTTGCCCCCAGGAAGTGTCCAGATCTACAGGGTCCGGCTTGAATAAGGAACACTTACTTTTCAAAAGGGGTTCGGTGTTTTTTTTTGGTCTGAGTGCGTTCCGCTACCTTTTTGGGGGGCGAGCCCTCCTGGTGTTCCCTCGGACTTCAGTAGAATCACTGGGCAAAAAAGGGGGCTTCGTTCCTTGCTTATCGTTCCTCAGGTCAGGCCGAATACTGTACTTCGGATGCGACTCCTGGGAGGTCAAATTCGGATCTTGCCCTGGTCCGACATCCGGCTTAATCCCGCTTGATCCCGCCCAATCCGGCTTAATCCCGCTTGCTCCCGCTTAGTCCGGCTTAATATGAGGCCCACTCCGGCGTAGGCTTAATCCTCTTTAACCCTTCCGAAGAAAACCTCCCAGCAATTGCCTTCTAACTGTACGGGGCCCGCGGGCTGGAGAAGCAGTGAGGTCGCTGGCGCCGACGCCGGCGCGGCGCCGCGAAGAGGGGGCCTGCCTCTCCCGCGCGGGCATCTGCGCGGCAGGCTTGTAAGTCTGGCCTGTCCCTCTACAGGGGGAAGATTCAAAAAGAGTCAAAAAATAGTCAGGGGACTATGGTTTTTGAGCATTTTTTGCAATCTTGGAGTATTCTTTAAGTATTTCTTAACTTTCGTCGAACATCCCCTTGTAGGGGGACACGCCCGACTTAAGGCAAGCTGCCAGCTCGGGGAGCGCACAGAGTATCAACGACACTCCGCCGCGGGGGACCCATCTGCGTGAAATTAATGGAAACACAAAGAGCCACCGGGCAAAAACTAGGGAGCAGCTTGCGGACGGGCCTCCGACGGCGGCGTGTCAGTGGATGCTCGCTGTCCGTCCAGGCCGGCGCAACGGTCGCTCGTCAGAGCCCCCCTTCTCGTGGTCGCGCGGTGTGCCGCGCGTCGGCGGCCTGCGCGCAAGCCATCGCGGCCGGTCGTCACCGCGCCCTCGTGCCTCAGGGCCTCCTCGTCTCTGTCGCCCGAATGGGCTGCTTGTCAAACAGTGTTGAAGCGTCCTGGCGTGCCTATAGGCCTACCAAACAATAGTCTAAGAACTTGTTGTGGTTTCCACGAAATGCTTTTCGAACATTTCTGCCTTGGACTGTCTTGCTTTAACACATCGGGTTTATGTTCTAAGAACATTGTTTTTGTTCTTAGAACATTTGTGGGCCCTAAGAGCATTTCGTGGTAGGCTATACAAATGCCGGGACGGTCGGTCCCTGCACAAGCTTAACGGGAGAGACCCCTTGCCGTCGAGCCGCCCTCGGGCGCAGGGTTCTCGCGGCCTTGAGGCGAGAGGCGCTGCAACAAGAAGAGGCGTCGACGCCTCGTCGCCGCCGGCTGCGCCCTGCAGTGTCTGTGTGTGCGTGTGTTTTGTGTGTGTGTGTGTGTCTTTGTGTGTGTGTGGGGGTGTGTTGGTGTGGGTGTGGGTGTGGGTGTGGGTGTTTGTGTGTGTTTGTGTGTGCATATGCGTGTGCGTGTGCGTGTGTGTGTGTGTGTGTGTGTGTGTGTTCGTGTGCGTGTGCGCGTGCGTGTGCGTGGGCGTGTGCGTGTGCGTGTGCGCGTGGTGCGTGTCGTGAGCGCGTGTGCGTGTGTGTGTGTGTGTGTGTGTGTGTGTGTGGGTGGGTGGGTGGGTGGTGGGTGGGTGGTGGGTGGGTGGGGTGGTGGGGTGTGGGTGTGGGTGTGGGTGTGTGGGTGTGGGTGGGTGTGAGTGGGTGTGGATGGGTGTGGGGTGGGTGTGGGTGGTGTGGGTCGGTGTGGGTGGGTGGGTGTGTGGGTGGGTGGGTGTGTGGGTGGGTGGGTGGGTGGATGAGTGGGTGTGTGAGTGTGTGGGTGTGTGAGTGTGTGGGTGTGTGGGTGTGTGGGTGTGTGGGTGTGGGTGTGTGGTGTGCGGTGTGTTGTGGGTGTGTGGGTGTGTGGGTGTGTGG